GCAACCTTCTTCTTAGGTTGGAAGTCCTTCTAGATTATGAGCAACAGTCTGAGCATGTAAAAATAAATGATGAACACTTTAAGCAGCTAAATCCAATTCACCCTGGTCAATGAGTTTCATTTATTCTGTACTTTTTTAGACGAAGACAAACAGTGGTTCAGGATGAAATCTCATTTATTGGGTTTAAGATTCAGACCGGATGAAGTGGAGTACATAAGAGGACGAGAAAGGTTAGCCTTCGGATTGACTAGAGGGAGTGACAGAGAAGAAATTTCATTCGTCTACTTAAAGTGACAAACAACACAAAACCCTTTTCAACTAGGATTGAGTGAGGGCAGTTCAGGCGTGGGTGAATAAATCACAAAATTATTGGGATGCACAGACTGTTTCAGGTTAACAAATTTGTTATTAGTTGTGCTTTTTAAACATTTTGAAATGGGTCCCGTTGACGACACGATGTGGCAGTAACACAGCTTTCAATTTCCCGTGACAAAACTACGCTACAAAACTACGCATACCTTTCGGTTGTCGATGGGGTAACTGATGTGAGGCCGGTTCATAGATGAGATCCCAAAGCTGGAACTAAAATTACATTTAGCTGCACACGACAAATGTGCGGTTCGGGTGCACTTTGTTGGTATGCTCTAAGAATAAGCGGATTCGAAACGAAGTTTTGCTTGAGAAGCGTTCCCGCGTCTCCTTCGCGGGTTTCTCTAATACGTATGGATGATGTCTTGATCATGTGCCGCACAAACCACCAAACGATTGGTGTATTATTATATTTCACACACGTCTGAGACCCAACTGCATACCAAACTACTCGTGATACAATAACCTTTATAAAAAGGCTTGAATGTGAGCTAAATACTGCCAGATTGTCCAGGCCAAGGCCGATGAAGTTTCATGAGGAATCCACAACCGGAGCCTTCAGGTAGCCAAAGTTTGACCCGCAAGGAAGTGCGTTATTGGTCATTGAATTAAGCAGTGTTGATAACACCAAGTGCTTGTAGTTTAAACTAACGGTTACAATCTTATTCTAACGAACAGACAAACTGCACTTGCTTACTTCGAAGGACGAAACTTACTTATAGAATGCAGTATTCATGAGTGAAGATTCCCTAACTGCTATTTCTGTTTATAAAATCATGTTTAATATTTATTACTCGTTTTTATTTGACGAAATATAATCATAAAGCGTAGTGGAGAACGGGTTCAAACTCTCATGCGCAAACAACCTTAATGCAGATGTTATGACTGATTGCGGCTAATACGAGCTAAAAATAACCTTTCTTACCTATTTAACCACCTTGTTTCGGATACTCGTCTGACCGTGACGCATCTGCTCTTTCCTCTTACACACATCCGAGGCGTAGGTGGATTCAACCAATCGGTTCAACTACCATCGATCAACCGAACGCTCATCTAACTGGTTGACGGAAATGAACCAATGATTGAGCGGCTACCTATCGGCCAGTTTTTTCTTGTCGTATGATGTGTTTTCATCCGACTCGCAGCTGGCTGTGTTGTAGCAAGATAATGCGAGCAATGAGTGAATTTATGTGATGAAATATTGCGGTGGTTTATTTGAGACCACTCCGTTCAAATCTTCGCTCAACGTGTAAAGCAATGCTAGTTTGAAACGACACTTATGCCATCCGACATGGAATTACCTTCTAACATCCCCCTATCGGATGAGGATAGACTGCGTGGGCATAAATCACGCCGACCCAGAAGGCAACATGCTAGTTCAAAACCCAGTGGACGTAGAGGTCCTGGAATTTTCCGACCAACAACTACTGAACTACCGGCTACAGATAACCGGGCAAATAAACCACATCACTTCAAACCTTCACTGACTCCCGGTTTGGGTACTATTCGCGTTGTGGGGAATCATGTTGGTGAGTTTCGTCCCGATACTTTTGAGGAGTTATCATTGTTCAGCTGTGTGCGGTACAATTGAGATAGAAAAAAGAGTGAGATTAAAAAAGAACGTGAGTGGAACATCCGGTTGACCTACAGCGACAAAGTATCCCATTTCATTTCATTTTAGCCGTCAGCGGTGTTAATATGGAGTTCATGTTCCTTGAGTATTTCGTTACATTTATACACTTTTCAAGTGGAAATCCGTTGGTTTTTAATCATGCAGTTGTTGATTTAACTCGGGTGAAGTGAATCTCAATTTAGAAATATATGTTAGTTTTCGCTATCATATCGATAGCCACGGGTAAATAGCATTTAGTGTTAGATTTATCTCCCACTGCAATATTCCTAATTCTCATATACGGCAATTGGACTTGTCTCGATCTTGAGTGTCAGGACAAAATTGTTTGTAGTTTAAAAGTTAGAGCCCAAAATTTGAAAACATTTTTTGTGCACTGCACCATGGAATTTTAATCTTCGTATCAAATTATGATTGTTCCGCTGATGAAGCTGGTTTTGCGTGACTACCACTTCCGAATTGCTATCGTAAAAGTCAAAGGTGTTTGTCATGTCACGCACAAGGCTGTTCATAGGAATCTTTTAAATCTTACCGTATACTGTTTTTGCACACAGATAGTTTGTGGATTGTCAACTTATAAAATGTAATTTAATCAGTTTCCGCCCACAGCCCGGATACGAATGTAATTGAAAACGTTTCTCCTTGTTGAATGCGAAATTAGTTGACTCGATAGTAGTCATTCGATGACAAGGTGTGGCATGTACTGGAGGCAAATGACAAATGCGATTTGACTGCCAGGTTGGTAGATTTCATGCCGAAGCGACTGGTCCAACAGCTCAAGAACGAATAAGGAAGCAGTTCAGTTCAGTTCAGTTCGAGCAACAATTTACCATGCATTTTTGTGCGCCCGTTTTGATTGCTGTCTTTTTGCTGACCATTTGGATGGACAGTAGGCAAAATACAGTAAGGTTGAAAGTGGAATCGAAGAGAAAATTAGGAATTTCAGTGGATTATTGTTGTAAAGAAATTGAGATGTAGTGGTTTGGTCGTTGCCACTTAGTTTCGAGCCCCGCCACCGTCACACAACAAAACAGTGTAACCATCGTTCATCCTGGAAATTGGAATTGTCAGATCCGAACAACTTTCGGAGAGTATCAAAAAATCAATGCGCCATGTGATATGTTTTATATAAGTTGTAATTTTGAAAACACAGCGATTGTAAAATCACCTTGATAAAGGTTATCCACGGTAACCAAAATGTCGGCTTATTTCCACCGGTACCGACATCGCTATGTTTTCAAAATTACAACTTATATAGACTGGATTATAATTGATTCCACGGGATTTTTGATACCAGATAATCATATTAGACAAACGTTGGTCCAATAAATCAAGTGAAGACAAGCACACACCATAATTAACTCTGATGTTCGATTCAAAGATGTATAGTATTCTCACACCACCGACTTGTGGACTAACATGCACCTTGTGTTTCGCATGCACACCGTCCAAGTTTGCGATCTACTATGGACGCGATTCAATTTTCATTACTTCTGGCAGTTCCGGTCATTGCCGCTTTGTTAGTAAGTCCGCGAACGATGCTTTGCTTGAGCGCTACAAACACTGATACACCGGCAACCACTTTCCATTCACCTGAAATCAAGCCCTTTTCGCTATACCTGAGCTATTCAAAATAGCAGAGAAAAGCTGTGGTTAGCGTGTGTGTGTGTGTAAAGTGTCTAAGAGTTGGGTCTAATCGTGCGCTTTATTCGGAGTGTTCACCTCACACCGGTGCAATTCCCATCATCCACAAGAGGCGTCAGACAACTGGGTTCTCACGAAGCAAGCGTTTTTCTTTGGTTTCGGCGATCAATTACTTCTCTCTCTCTGGCTCACGCTCTGCATCTTTTCAGCTACACACACACACGAGAGCTTACTAGGGGTTTTCACAGCCCCTCAGCAATGGGAAGAACCTATAAGAATGAACTATAGCTGTTCCAGTCTCACGTCTTGTGTTCTGACTTAATTCTGGCCGTTGATAAGCAAATACGTTGCACTGGTCATATGGCAGTTTGTGCGTAAGTGGTTAGTTGTTGATCGTTTATTGGGCTCGGAGATTGAAATATGAATTGTAAGTCGTCTGGTACGCTTCAGAAGCGTCTTTCATAGTTTTTTGGGTCAAAAACACCCTGAGCACAGTCCGTGCTCACTCCGTCAATACAGCTTATGGTTCATTTTTTTTCTGGTTTCGTTTTTTCGTTTTTCACCTCTTATTTGTGTTAATTGTTTCAAACATTAACCTAAACATCTTTTACAGTAGAAATTTCACCTTATTATTGGTAAGACCATTAAATTATCCGTCAAGGTCATTTAAAAAGTGCCATTGATTTGGTTTGGAAACTGGGATTCTATTAGTATTATACGCTTTTGTGATTGCCCTTTCGAGGGAACTTTGTTGTTGAAAATGATGGAAACACCCGCCAGATCCGGAAGATAAAAATTAATACGTTTTAGTTTCTATCATGATTTTACCATGATCTCTTGAAGTTTTTAAAAATTCAATTCTCAAGAAACATAAAAGGAACCCTTGGAAATGATTTTGTAATTAATCAGATGCTGGAACTGAATGGATGAACTAAGAAGAAGCTCAGCTACCTAAAACAGCTCCGCTATTTGACTTGATTTTCAGGATTTGGATTTACCGTTTTTGAGTAAATGCTTTTGGTTTTGTTTGCTCTATGTATAAATCTACTCAAGTGAGACCGTTTGGCAGCTTTCGTATTCATACTCAACAACCCGGAGTCGTGGATTACTATCGGGTTTTTGTGATTTGTACTGCTTCAGTGACAAGTAAGTCATAGTTAATGGAAAGCGATCGTAATATTAACCAGCTGGGGAAAAATTCAGGAAATACGGAATGAAAAATTTGGCACAAAGTAGTACTTTCGCAGCTCTGGTGTCTATATCACAATTGCGCACATGTCGGCTCGGTTTTTGATGAAATATTGGCAATTAAATTTCCAAGCTCTGCGAAAATGGATATATATATATATATATATATATA